TGGCAGAACCATAGCTTTCAGCTTTGGGAGCGAACAGATCGTCCAGGTTGCTCTTCTGACCAAAGACGGCACAATGCTGGAGCCCTGTCCAGACCACAACATGACATATGGGGGAAATCCGGGCCCCAGAGGTTTAGAAGGGCATTTACTAGATGACCTGAAAGGTGGTGAGGGCCCCTCCATGGGAGGGGAGTAAGCTGCAGCCTCCTAGGGAGGGGGCCTCCAGGCTGGAAGGGAAGAAAGAGAACCAGTGAGCGGAGGTTCAAGAAAAATACTGTTATTAAGTTCCGAATGAAACCTTTCCCAACCCTCAGAGCGGCCCACAGTGGAGCCAGGCTGTCGTCCTGGGAAGAATTGGAAAGGGGGCCTGTGCACCCGGCAGGGAGGTTAAAGCGCTCTCAGCTTCTCCCTTAAGCCTGGGTGTCCTTTCTGTAGCATGGAGGGAGGGGAGGGGGGGGTCCAGCAATCTCCTAGAAGACCCTGCATGGATGGCGCTGGCACTTAGGAGGACTAAACAGACAGTCCTCTCCGCCTTTGTCCTTAGTGACATCTTCCCATCACCAAGTCGCCCGCCCAGCCCGTCAGCTCTCAGTGAGTGGCGGCTGACTCACTCCCATCCTCTCTCCCTGCAGCTGATGGACCAGGCCCGGATGCGGAAGCCCGTGAACGTGCAGATGATCTTCTCCAACCCGCTGGATGAGCCGGTGAAGAACTGCGTGCTGATGGTGGAGGGGAGCGGCCTGCTGCTGGGAAGCCTCAAGATCGAGTGAGTCTCAGGCCTGGGGCCCATGTGAGATGCGGGAGGGGGCCAGAGGGGGGCCTCCCAGGCAGGGCACACAGAGGTTCTCTAGCATCAGAACTGGAGATCTGCCCATAGGCACACACATGTGCATTTGGTTTAGGGTTCACCAAACCTAAACTCCTGGAAAGTCCAGGTCACCAGAGCTTGGAGCTGGTCCCGAGAGCTTAACATATTTGGGAGATCAGAGGACCCCCACCACCCCTGCCGATGGGTCCCAGGGCTGGAGGGACCCCGGGACCCAGGCAGCAGCTAGAAGGAGCTAAAGAAGCAGTGACCTTGTCCAGCCCCCACCAGAGCAGGACTTGAGGCCACAGAGGCCTGTCCAGCCTGCGGCCTGTCAATGTCACCATCAACACTGATTCATGCCCTTCCCCACCAGCGTGCCGACCCTGCGCCCCAAGGAGCAGTCCCGGGTACGTTTTGAGATCATGCCCACCCGGAGTGGCACCAAGCAGCTGGTCGCTGACTTCTCCTGCGACAAGTTCCCTGCGATCAAGGCCATGCTGTCTGTCGACGTGGCAGTGTGAAGGGCCCAAGAGACGCCACACAAACTTGGGTACCACGGAGTAGGCAGGGCTTGCCTGCCCAGCCTGGGAAACCCACTCTGTCCCCCAAGGCTGCCTGGATGGGGAGCTCCAGCCTCAGCACACCCCCTCCCTTACTCCCAGGCTGGGCTGGCTCCACCCGGCCTGAGACGTGACCACTTTGCACTTCCCCTGGCTCTCTCTGTGGCCGCCTGCCTGTGAGCCCCATGGTCCTGCTCAGCCCTCTCACCCATCCGTGCAGCAGGGGGAGTGGCACCTGACCCAGCGGCTCTCTGGATGGATACAGGGAACAAGACGGTCTGGACTGTTTGCTGATCCCTAGCCTGCAGCTGGGACATTCCTGCTCCTCCTTCAGGCCACTGTGGAGGGGAGGGGATGGTTAGCCATCTGTCATGGCAACTCACACCCTTATACTCAAAATAAATGTTAAAAAGAGCACCATCGCACTGCACCGACTCCATAAGGCTGCTGCTTCGCCTAAGGTGGTAGGGAAGGAGAGAGGGGCTGGGGCCGGGTCCTTCCGGAGAAGAGATGGCCTTGGGAAGACTTGCTCTCCATGTCCCAACACCCAGAGGGCGCGGCTTGTTCTGTGTGGCTCCAGATGCAAAACTAGGGAGATGTTTCAAGTCAGTTTAGGAAAACTTTCTAATATGTCCACATTAGGTTAGGCTGCCTTGGGAGGGGGCTCCTGGTCACACAGGCTTCCAGAGCTCAGGGCCCTCACAGGTGTCACAGTGAGAAGGCTTCTGTCTTCACGGGAACAGAGCAGGTCCTGTGGTGGCCTGGCCTCGCGGCTCACGTGGGCTCTTTCCTCCTGGTGCCACACTCCTCCTCTAGCCCCAGGAGAGAATGTGTCACTTCCGTGGCCTCAGCATGGCTAACTCAGCGGAACATTCCCTGCCTTCACACACGCTCTGATGGTTCCCCAGTCTTTGCCCCTTGAAATAACTCCAAGCAGACCCCATAGCTTCCCTGGTGCTTGTGCTGACGGATCCCATTTGGGCAATCACACCTCACTTTCTGAATGTAAGGGACCAGTCCAACCTCATGTCCAGCTCAAAGCTCCCGCCCTCTGCTCAGCTGGGGCCTGACTCTGGCTTGCAGAAGGCTCTGTCCCATTCCTCCGCTTCCTACCCCTCCTCCCATGTGCCGCCTGCTCCTTCAGGGTCAGAGCAGGGAGAGAGAGAATTGGGAGAAAAACGACCGAGGCCTATTTCACCGGTGCTCTTGCAGCCTGGCCAGCGATGCCCTCTGTGTGGCCGGCGTGTAAATGCAGGCTTTCTGCACCACATGTTCCCTGATGCAGGCAACATGCCCCTCAGTGTCGGCCCCCAGAGGTTCACCCATCACCTCCCCCTGCACTGGAAGTCATGGTGCTTTCATGAGGCTGGAGCCCACTTACCTTTCCTGGGGTCCACTGCCCATGGGTGCTCAGACCTCGTTGCCTCGCCAAACAATGGACGAGCAGCTGCCCCAGAGGGCCCCTCTTCTCCTCTTGCATTTTGAGGTGCTGCAGCCCCAGCTTCCCTCCTCCAGGATGTCCCTGGGGGCAGCCAGCACAAGAACCTGAGCCCATCACCTGCCCTGCTCCCAAGGTCAAGGATCTCCCAGCAGCTCTGGTGTCCGCACGCAGCTGGGCGCCCAGTCTCCGCGCAGTGGGCCTCCCCTGAGAATGGCAGTCTTGTCTCTCATCTTGAAGCCTCGCTGCTCTCTCCAATGTTCTCAGGGCCTCCCTTGCTGCTTGACTTGGCCTGGAGATGGGGTGCTCCACTGTCCCTCAGACACTCTGCACCAGTCCCCAGCGAGGAGGGTGAGGGGGAAATAGACAGACTTCTGCTCTGGTTTCTGAGAGAAAGAAAGAAATCCAGAGGTTCCATTTCCTCCCAGCCCCGTGAGGCCTGCCCGGGACCTTCATTCTCTCAGGCTTCAGCCTTGTCAGCCAGCATTTCCTGAATGCTTGCTTAGTGCCAGGCTCTGGGCTGCGCACGGGCTCCAAAGAGATTAAAAACCAACAACAGCATGATCCCTGCCTGCGGGTTTCTACTCTCGAGAGCGATTCCTAAGGTGTGACATTAAAAATTCATGTGGAGTTTTTAATCAACCCCAGGCACATGTGTCTTATATCTAATAACACTCTTCCACCCGGCGTGGGTTCTGAAGAATTTTAGCAATAAAACAAAGAAATAGCAGGCAGAGGCCCAACACTGCACTTATTTCTAGTAGAATTGAAGTTGGAGGCTGCAGCATAGTGTGAGATGCAAGGGGGCCTGCTAGCTGAACCCCAGAACAGGAGGCTTGGGTTAGGGTGTATACTCAGATGTCACCGCAGGGAGCCCCAACATGCCAGGGTCCTAACCAAGGTAGGCACTTACCTCTTTCTTGTGAAAGAGCCAAAGGAGGCCGTCCAGGAACCCAGGCTGCTTGGTCTCAAGACTCTGTCACCCTCCACGTGTAATTTCCACCTTGTGGTCCCAGGTGGCTATTCCAGCTCAGGCAAAATGTCCCCAGTCAACCCAGCAAGAAGGAATAGATGGGCGCCCCCTTTCCCACTAAGGGAACAATCTGAGAGTTGAAAGTTAAAATGATACATTTCACTTCTGCTCACATCCCATTGGCTGGAACTTAGTGGTATGGCCAATAAGGGCCACACCTGCAGGGGAAGTTGGGGAATGTGGTCATTAGCTTGGAGGACGTTTATCTTCACTTCTGCTCACATCCCATTGGCTGGAACTTAGTGCAGGGGAAGTTGGGGAATGTGGTCATTAGCTTGGAAGACGATTATTCAGCCAATAGTCAGGGTTTCAATCACTATAGAAATAAGGGAACTGGGTATTGGGGTAACCAGCAGTCTCCATTACCCTGACCCACCAAGACATGGGCCATGCAGGCCTAGGGTGGCACTCCCCTCCATGGCAGCAAGAACACCCACAGGAACTTGGAGGACCCTTGAGCCAAGAACAGCAAAGGTGAAGTTGAGTCTCACACACACACACACACACACACACACACACACACGCACCTAGTTATTCTTCCCAAATTATTCCGTAAGGTAAGCCCCACCACCTGCCCAGGGGCAGAGAGAAGCTGAGGACATGCCTAGTGGGGAACTGTTCCTTGTAGTAATCAACAGCATGATCAGCCTTTTCCCAGAACTGACCTTGGCATCCTTAACTCACTCTTCGCTCCTTCCAAGCCTCCTGCCTCAGGGACAATCTCTGGAGCCTCAGGTATGCTCTTCCGAAAATCTCCTCCCTGGGCAGAAGTCTGCCCTTTGAAACTGCACTAGTGTTTGGAACCAGGCAGATGTTACCTGGGTCCCCGCCTGGTGGGAGCTCAAAATGAGAATCAAATGAGGTAAAAAAAAAAAAAAAATAGAATGCATCAGTTAGATCCTTGGGCGTGTCAAGATGGAGTTAGAAGTACAAGAGAGTTATTGGGGGTGATGCCTATGAAAAAATAAGTGGGAGCAGGAATAGCGTGTAAGCCTTCAGACCACGATGCAGGTCTGCCCCCTGTGAAAGGAGAGACAAAGCGGAAGGAAAGAGGTTTGGGAAGAAGAGCCCAGGTTCCGCTCTGAGAAGCTGGGACCACAGTACAAAGGTTCCCACACAGGTCACCCTGGGCAGCAATGGCTGGGGCTGCCCTGGACGATCATGGCCGCGGCTCGAAAGCTGAGTCAGGTCTTGGATGTGCTGCAGGTGCCCTCTGTGCAGGTAATCGGCACATTAGTTTCACTGAAGGGAGCGCTGAGCAGCACACCTTCACCGCTGACACACTGACCCTGCAGGCAATCCTGAGCAGTTTGGGAACTCCTCGAGGACAGAGGCCAGGCACTTCATTCCTGCCCTCTTTAACCAGGAAAAGAGTATTTACCCGGTGCACACGGAAGGTCTGATGCATGAGTGAGTGTGTGTGTTCACGCGTGCACTTGTACCCATGACTCCTTTGAAAGGACAATGTGATTCATGGGAACCCCTTCTATTTATTGTTTTAACTGTCTGTCTTGTTGGGTCCCACCCTTACACATTTGAAGAGACGATGCAATTCAATATCCAGTTAAATACTGCCACTTGAGAATGTTTACTATGTGCCAGGCCCTAAACCAAGCATTTACATGCAATACCTGATATAATCCTCCGAACAAACCTAAGGGATAGGTTACCAATGGCATGTTATTTGTGCAAGACCACAGAGCCATGAGGTGGACAAACTGGGGTTCAAACCCTTCTCTGAAGGTCCAAAACCTTCAGAGCCAAAGCCACCATGATAGTGTGTCAGATGCTTTTGGTGGCCTACAGCCATGTCTCCTTCTTCCTTGCTAATTGAGTCCTGGTTTCCTCTGTTGTTCAATACCAATTGGTCTAAACTAGCAATTGTCAACCTTTTTCATCTCATGGCACACATAAACTAATGACTAAAATTCTGCGGGACACCAAAAAATATATTTTTTGCCGATCTGACCAAAAAAAAAGTTATGATTTTGATTCATTCACACAGGAAAGCGATTGTTGTGTTGAGTGTTATATTCTTTTATTTGACAATTTAAACCAGGAGACCTCAAACTTTTTAAACAGGGGGCCAGTTCACTGTCCCTCAGACCGTTGGAGGGCCGGACTATAGTTTAAAAAAAAACTATGAACAAATTCCTATGCACACTGCACATATCTTATTTTGAAGTGAAAAAACAAAACAGGAACAAATACAATATTTGTATTTGCATGTGGCCCGCTGGCCATAGTTTGAGGACCCCTGATTTAAACAAAAAGAGGTACGTGCCCCTGACTAAATAGTCGGGTATTGCATGTTTTAAAAATTCTTGTGGCACACCGGTTGAAAATCACTGGTCTAAACCCATCCTGATAATATTTTCCCCTTTTGCCAGTGATTTCTTTGGAAGTAAATACCAAGGAGTGTGAGCACTGGGTTGTATGGTAAGGGAGTATGTTTAATTCTGTAAGAACCTACCAAGCTATCTTCCGAAGCGGCTGTACATTTTGCATTCCCACCAGCAACGACTGAGAGTTCCTGTTGCTCCACATCCTCACCAGCATTTGGTGCTGTCAGTGTTCCGGATTTTAGTCATCCGAATAGGTGTGTTGTGGTATCTCGTTGTTGTTTTAATTTTCATTTCTCTTATTACATATGACATGGAGCATCTTTTCATATGCTTGTTTGCTATTCATACATCGTCTCTGCTGAGATGTTTATTAATGTCGTTGGTCTATTTTTAAATCAGGTTGTTCTCTTCTTGGTGAGCTTTAAAAGTTTTTGCATATTCTGAATACAGTTCTTTATCAGGTATGTCATTTGCTAATATTTTCTTCTAGTCTGTGGCTTATCTTTTCATTCTCTCAATAGTGTCCTTTGTAGATGAGAAGTTATTAATTTTGATGAAGTTCAGTTTATTCTATTATGGATTGTGTTTTTGGTGTTGTATCTAAAAAATCATTGCCAAGCCCAAGGTCATCTAGGCTTTCTCTTATGTTATCTTCTAGAAGTTTTATAGTTTTGCATTTTACATTTAGGTCTGTGATTCATTTTGAGTTAATTTTTGTGAAGGGTGTAAGGTCTGTGTCTAGATTCATTGTTTTGCATATAAATGTCCAGTTGTTCCAACTCCATTTGTTTAAAAAACTATCTCTGCTCCATTGTATTGCCTTCGCTCCTTTGTCAAAGATCAGTTTATATTTATGTGGGTCTGGGCTATCCCATTCCATTGATCTATTTGTGTATTATTATTATTATTATTATTATTATTATTATTTTGCTGATATCACACTGTGCTGATTACTGTAGCTTTATAATAAGTCTTGAAGTTTGTCCTTTGATGTCATCCTTCTCCTTAAACACTGCATTGGCTATTCTGGGTCTTTTGCTTCTCCACATAAACTTTAGAATCATTTTGTTGATGTCCACAACATAACTCAGTGGGATATTGATTGGGAATGCATTAACTCTGTAGATCAAGTTGGGAAGAACTGACATCTTGACAATATTGAGACTTCCTATCCAGGAACATGGGACATCTGTCCTATATTTAGTGCTTTGATTTTTTTTTCATTAGAGTTTTGTAGTTTTCCTTCTATAGAGCTGATACATATTTTTTTAGAATTATATACCTATTTCACTCTTATTGGTGCTAAAGTAAGCAATATTATGGTTTTTATTTCAAATTCCACTTGTTCATTGCTGGGATATGGGAAAATGATTGACTTTGTCTATCAACCTTAAATTCTGCAACCTTGCTATAATAGCTTATTAGCTGTGTATTTCCTTTCTCCTACATGGGAGGCTAGTGAGGGCTAAAGTTGGGTATTTCCCTCCCCCTGGTCAGCTAGACTCTGGAAAAACTCCAGCAGGTTCGACTCTAGTAAAATAGTTTCCCCTGAAGTCAGCCCCTGTTAAGAAAAACGGAATGCTCTGGAGTCCTTTTAAATAGCTGCTTACCTCTGACCCCTGCCTGAAGCATGAGGCGATTTGGCTCTGATTTTCACTGTGAGGATCGGATAGGGCTCCTGGAGGTGAACTCACAAAAGTGTCGGGGCTCCTCTGGGACGGGGTCCCCATGGAGTTTTTAACTCTCAGACTTGTCCACACTGAGCCTCCAGCAATCTGTCAATCACAGTTCGGGTTTCCCTCCTCTGCACTGGTTCCCATGGAGGCTGCTGCTCCTGGGCTGCTGCTCCTGTAAGTAGAGATCCTCTGTACTCGCCTGTCAGTCCCTTCGATTCGGGGGCAGGAGTTTACTCTATGGCCTCACTTCTCTTTCAGTTCCAAGAAGAGCTGTTGATGTCTCAATTCGTTCAGCTTTGTACTTGTTGGGAGAGAGTGGCAACTTCCAAGCTTCTTACATGCTGGAAGCCAGAAGTCTATTCTAAGCATTTTATAAATGTTTCTGTATCCTTTCAACACCTCTTTGAGGAAAGGATGAAAAGTATCTTTATTTTACAGGTGAGGGAGTTAATTAGGTCACAGGAGAGCTAGGACATGCAGCATCGGTGCCCAGGCAGACTGGCTCCCGTGCCTGACCTCTATGTTATGCAGTGCAACCTACACAAAGTCTAAGAAGGTAGCCAGCGATAAATGCCATCACAGGTTTACAAAGAGACAGAGGAGTCAGTGATGCAGAAACTAAAGGAAGTTTGTCTCTGCTATGGCGCCCAGCCCTCCAGAGGCATTCATGGATGCCGCCTCCCAGCCTACTTTCCCGTAATGATTCGTCATGTGCTCCCATTTCTATACTGAAGAAGTGCCCTAGACAGGGAAATTAAGAGTCCCTCTTCCCAGAAGCAGCCTCTTCGCCCATCCTGCTTCTGGCTGGAGGCCACCCCTTCTCCCAACCTTGACCACACCTGCCCAGGAGCCAGCCTCAAACACCTGGATTCAACCAGCATGCCCTGGAGCTTGTCCGGTAGCAGAGACTCATCCTGCCATTATGTCACTTCTCCTCCAAGCAGCCTTCAGTGGTGGACATTATTCGCCCACCTTGTACCAATGGGGAAACGGAGGCTTAGAGCAGGTTCTCTCCATTTTCTGCTCTCATACTAGCTTTCACATACTTTATAATAACCTGCAGCACTTTTTGGAATCGCTTGTTTATCTGTCAATGACTGCCAATCTACAGGGTGGAGACAGGCAAATGTGCATAAAATGATTTCTTGATAGCACATTATAATATATAATATGTTCAATGATATTACATGATAAGTTCAATGCGCTTGAATTCTTTTTTGTTGCTGTTGTTGTGGTTAATCCTCATCCGAGGACATTTTTTCCATTGACTTTTAGAGAGAGTGGAAAGAAGGGACGGAGAGAGAGAGCACGCCATCCCAACCAGAGCTAGGAATTGAACCTGCAACCCAGGTAGGTGCCCTTGACCAGGAATCAAACCTGCTACCTTTTGACGCATGGAGCCAGGCTCTCTAACCAGTTAGCAACACCAGTGAGGGCAAATGCTTAAATTTTTCTTTCCTCCTCCTCCTCTTTCTTTTTCTTCTTCTCCTTCTCCTTCTCCTTCTCCTTCTCCTTCTCCTTCTCCTTCTCCTCCTCCTTCTCCTTCTCCTTCTCCTTCTCCTTCTCCTTCTCCTTCTCCTCCTCCTTCTCCTTCTCCTTCTCCTTCTCCTTCTTCTTCTTCTTCTTCTTCTTCTTCTTCTTCTTCTTCTTCTTCTTCTTCGTCTTCTTCTTCTTCTTCATGTCATGACTGGGAATCGAATCATCGGCCTCTAGGTTCATGGGACAATGCTCAACCAATTGAGCCACACCGGCCAGGACCAGGCTTGAATTCGTACACAGCATAACTTGTTATACTACACAAAACTGCATGAAATTGGAGTGTTAACATGGCAATTTCATTAATCCCGCATGCTGCCTCGGATGATCTGTGTCTCTGATTTTCACTGAATAAACCTCCACCTTTAGCATGGCTCAGAAGATGTAATCAAGGGGTTTTAATCTGGAACAAAATAAAATAATGTCGCTTATGTATTCAGATTTTATGGCCACTGTGTAGCAAATTAGCTACCCCTCTTATAAAATAAAAAATTCTAAATATATACAGACACATTTATCAAAATATTTTATACAAATATATTCACAGCATAAAAATTCCTTAAATACATAGCATATAAGAGAGTGAAAAAAAATAGGCAGTCCCCTTTCCCCACCCCTCTGGCACTTTTCCCCAGTGGACACTCAAGTTCTCAGTTTGGAGTGT